CCCACTAAAGTTTGAAAGAAGTGTATGACTAAAGAATATTCCATACTGGTGATTGTTAATGTTCTGCCAAATGTTCTTAATGTTAAAAATCACAGCTGCAAGTGGGCTTTGTTTAGCAAGAAAATATTTTGTGCTGAATTTATTTGAAGCAAATTTCAGCTGCAATTTACTGCTCATATTAATGTAGACCTATTGTGTATATACATATATATGTATGAAAGTATTCTGTATATTTTGTGTTGCAGACTACAAATTAGTGAACGTTTTGCAGAAGAATCTGTACAAACAATAAAAGAATTGCAAGCAAAATTAGATAAAGAAGAAAAAAGAAGTAATGAAATTGAGAAAATGTTGAGAGACACACAAGACCAGTTACTACTACATGCTACTAAACCATTAAAAGAGGTTTTATATTTTATATTTTTTTTCCAAACTTTATTAACCTTTGGTGTGTAGGTTTATATCCACAAGATCATAAAAAATATTTTTCCTTCTACTAGCTCAGAAGTTGACAGATCTGTGTCAAACAGGTCTAGTTTTATTTAAAATCCAAGCTGAGAGTGGGCATATATTAACTTACCTAGCAAAACGTCTTTAAAAGAAATGCTGTCATCAATTTTACTGCGATATGAGAATATACCAAATTTAACCAGTGTTTACTAAAATGTACATGGTTTTGTGTAATGCTTTTAATAACAAGACAAGATACACAAGGGGTTTTAGTTAAAAAAAAAAGGTTGTCAGATTATGACTTGTGAGGTATCTCCATACACATACAAAGGTTAGGGAAACTATTTGATGCATGTTTACATTCTAGGTGAGGCTGCAGTTAGAAGAAGATGAAAGTGATTCTAGAATACGAGAATATAATGCTTTTTTGAGTAAGTTCTTAAATCTATGGTCCAGGAAAGTAAACATCCTGTAATCGTAAACTTGTCTCAAATGTTGTTTTTTTACTATATTACAGGCCAGCAAATTATTTGTTTGTTATTGCAGCCCTCACCCACACCTGTTAATGAATTGAAGTTGAAACATATTATTTACTGAAGCATAAATATCAAAAACTATTCTTGACTAATAAGATCAATAAATACAGGGTTAATCTATCTATCTCTTTGTTTTTGAGTTTGTGTTCTTTGACTTGATTATTGATTTTTAAGGAAATATTTACTTTGCAGCTCGACGCGGTATGGGTTACTGCAGAAGGTTACATAGATGGATGAAGGTTAAAAAGTATGTAAAGTTAATATATTTCTGTTCTGTTTTGTCAAAGTTTTAAAACCTTGCCTAAGATAACACCTTTTTATACCCCTACATGAAATGGGGGGCATATATTGCCATCACCCATGTGCCGTCCACAATTGCTCATACACACTCTAGAAGGTGCGATTCATGACTGATTTTGACGAAACATGGTATGATTGTTTGTAATCACCCGAGGTTTATCCCTATTGAAAATCGCAAAATATTTAGTATGAGTTATTGCCCTTGTTCTTGAAAACGTGTTCAAAGTTTTGCTCGTCTACACCTAGAAGGCATAATTCTTGACGAAATTTGGTGAAATTGTTTTTATCACCCATGGATGAACACCATTGAAAATCAAGAAACTAAAAAATGTTTTGTAGGACTTTTTGACCTTGTTCTTGTAAATGCTTTCAATTTTTAGCTCATAAACACTAAAAGGCACAATAATTGCCAGATTTGGACATATTATTCAGTTGGACTATAGCCCCAAAAAGTACAAAAGAAGATTATGACTGAAGGTTGAATATTCCATACTAGTGATTGCTACTGTGCAGCCAAATTTTATTTTTTTAAACTTAAAGCTGTCAGTGGGCGTTTATTATCTTGCCTGGCAAACTATCTTTTAGTTTATTTTAGTGGGTGTTTAGCCATTTGGGTGACTTCTCGTTTCTTATGAGGTATTATTAATGTGCTTGGGGTTTTATATAAGGCAATTAGATATAAGATTTTAATGACTAATAATGAATAAAGAATTATCAATGTATTTACTAATTATCTGTCCAATCCCACTAACAGGTAAAAGGGTTTTATATATCATATAGTTCCTATTATAATTCTATCTTCAGGCAATACTTCTCATTTTCCAGCCGTCAACTTACCAGAATAATGAAGTTCAGACCAAGTATTAGAAAATGTTTATGGGCATATTTCATCTTAATACATATACTGATAGTAGCCTGTTTTACTGGATTTCTGTGAACACCACTCAAAGCTGTCAAAGAAATGAATTTTTGATATGGTTACTTGAAATTCTATTTGTGTTCAAAGATTCCTTCAATGAAATGCAAACTCAACAAATGAATGAATTTGTAGGAAAATTTTGTTTTATGATGTAATCACAAGTGAAATATAAATAATCACACCAATGTATATTTTCTTTATCCTTTATATAATTGTATAGGATGCTTTGTTCTTTTGGTGAAGTTAATAATTTGCATTGTGCTACAAATACATATTGTTTTTCCGAATCTGGAAACAGTAATGTCATGTGATAATTCTGCTATATCCCACTTTATCATATATGTTGTTCATATTAAAATAATTTGAAATAACATAAATTTGAAAAAAAACTATTATTGGCAGAAATGGCTGTAGCCTATTTTTTCATTAATGGTCCCTTTGTTTTATATATTCCTAAGTCACTTAAGTGAGTCTTGCTTCAACCCACTTTATATGGATAAAAGTTCAATGACATTCACATGTGTATAATTAGGTTGTATCCATGGTTGTTCGTAATGATTTGAACAATGCCTCATTAAAAATTTGTTTTTTTTATGTAAAATGAATTCATTTTTTGTACAAATGATTATGTCTGCTTGTTGATTTATTATTTCTTTTATTAATCCTATGCAATAACTTTATTACATTCCTTTTACCATTAATGTTTCACTTCATAATGACTTGAAAGTCATCACTGAATTATGTATTGAGGGCTTTCAGCATATCACACAACTGTGTACATACTGTGAGGAATAATAATTAATATACATATTTAAATTATTGTACATTTACTGGTGGTAGACTCGTTCAGAACTTATGTAATTTGAGAGTTTTGACTTGGAGATTGTCAACAGGGGTTAGTTTATTTCTGACAAGTTACAATGGAAATAGGGTTATGTTATTAATTATTATTATAAAATAATTGTAAATAGAAATAATATATTTTATCAAAGTTGTGGAGAGGATTATGCATATGAATAAATTATTATAAAATGCTTCATTTTTTTCTATAACTAACTCATAAGACTTTGTCTGTATTCTGCCTTTTTTCAGTATTTGACAGGATAATCAGAATCAGTAAGAATTACAATTTTGTGCTTAAATCAATCATAATATGATATAACAGGGTATCATGTGACATCATTGTGCATCAAGAAATAAATTTATTAGCTATGAGTATAAAAAGGGAATTGTGGCATCTCTTAAGGTGAATTTTTTAGAACATGTATTCAGATCTGAACGATTTAATGTAAAATTTTTCTCAATGGAGACTACATTTTAAAAAGATAACTTGAAAGAAATATAATATAAGCATGGAAATATCATATCTATCGATTTTTAGGGTATGTCATAAGTGCATGAAAACGCGTTCAATTTTTAGCCCATAAACATTCTAGAAGGCACAATTCTTGATGGTTTTGCGTCAAAACTTAGTGTGAGTGTTTGCTATCAACCTATGATGAACCCTATCAAAAATAAGATCTGCGTAAGGCATTGTAGTACCTTGAATATATGAAAATCTCATCAATTTACAGTCAGTTATGCTGAGTTTTTCCACAAAATCTTTTTAAATCAATAGCAATAAACAAAATAGATCAAATTATCAACATCATAGAGCTCTCATGTCTTTAATATTTGAAGACATTTACAAGTCAAGGCAATACCTCATAAAAAAATTCAAACATTACCACGGTGTTATCCTTATACACATTCTTTTATCAAAATTGGAAAAACAACTGCAGGCTAAATTTAATGCTCTTTTACCAAGTAAGGGCAATAACTCAAAAACCGATCATTCAAAACAAGCCCACTTCGAACTCGATAGAGATTGTATTTACATTTCGTGCATAACAAACTTAATCAAGATCGGATAAAAACTGTAGCCCCATTCCTAAATACAAGCCAAATTTGACGCTATTTTTTAATATGTCAAGGGCAATAACACAAAAACCATTCATTTAAAATGGACCAAGTTCTGACTTAGATCATATCCATATTTGCATGCATACCAAGTTTCATCAAGATCAGATAAAAATTATCTTTTTTTGGAAATCAGGAAAATTGAAAAATATTTAGCATAAGTTATTGCACGTTCAATTTTCCGCTTGTAAAAATTTTGACGAATTGTGGTGCGAGTGTTTGTAATCACCCAAGGATGAACCCTATTGAAAATCAGAGACAATGGATAGTGGATAATGAATAATCATTTATTGGTGAGATATTGGAAAATTTTGAATTTTATGAACATTTTTTGAGTTATTGCTCTTGACTTAAAAAAATTGGTCAAATTTGTGCTTAATAGAAACAATTTTTATTTGATTTGAAACTTTGTGTGCTCATTGGAATTGATTGAGTAAAGAGTTGATTACTTTTCTGAGTATTGAATAGAAACTTGACATGGTTCATGTTAGCCTTTATTGAGTCTTAAAATTTCACAGAGTTGCTTTGTGGACGTACATTTACATTCCCTGGCAAGCTATCTTTCATATTATCATCAAATTTATAAATAAACATCAACATACAGATATGTTTAAAAATTTGATTAAATTGGATAAACACTGTACTTTGTATGATATTTATCGAAAAATTGACACCCTCTGATAAAATCAAGGGCAATTACTAAAAAATAAAAAAAATATCAGTCAATTTCGAACTTGACTTGTTTTCCAGTTTATTAGATAACACAAAAAATATACAATTTCATCACAGTTACATGTAAATTAAAATAAAGTTTTATTAAGAAATTCAATAAAATATCATAGAATAGTACAACTTTTAGAATGTAATTCATCCCCTTTAACAAATGTATCTCGTTTATGTTTTCCCTTCTTGGGCTGTCTTTCACCAGTCACTTTTTTTGACAAAGATTTGCGTTCCTGAGATTTGAGTTTAGCACTATTATGGTCCTCTATACCTTTAGTTTCACGTTTTCTGAAATGTTGAGGTGATTTTCTTTCAGTTTCTAAATCGTGTAATGATCTAAACAAATTCATTGGTTCAATGTCTTCACCACGTGCAATTAATACATCTTCTTTTTCTAACAAATCTAAAGCTTCACTAATTAACAGTTCCAACATATCATCAGTGAATGGATGGTCTTTTATTATGGTGGCACAAAAATCTAATTGTATACAATTCACTGCAATTAAAAAGATATATAAAAATAAAGCCCAGGAAAATGAAATTTAACCAATAAGATGGCAATGAGAGAACAGAATTTGAGTCAACAATGAGAACTGATAAGAGTCCATTCCACATTTACAAGTACTGTTGGAAATGCAGGTCTATTTCTATTTCCAACATAGGACTCCATGTGCATCAACCATAAAAGCCGGCTCGCTGAACCCGAGAGAGAAGTCAAAAATGAGAATATTCTATATTACAAAGACTCTAATCATTAAAAATGAGAATATTCTATATTACAAAGATTCTAATCATTTAGAGGTAATCTCTCATTGCTAATGCTAATCCATTTCAGATACAAAATTCTCACAGCTAGTAAAGAAATGGATAAAACTAACAGATACTTGATCAATGAGATTATGTGACAGGACAGCCCTTACCTGTTGTTAGAAGAGGTATTAAAGGACAAAATCTACTATCTCATTGATAAACAATATTAAACAGCACTAATCTGATGGCCATGCCCCCCCCCCCCCTCCCCCCATTGTAAATTTTGTGGCCCTTACTCGACCCCCTGACCTTATGTTTCCTAGAAACGCTGCTAATAAAGCCAAGGTATAAGACACAGGACATTGTGAAGATGATCTGATAGTGCTAGAAGTGTTTAAAGACAAAACCTGCTATCTAAGTGATAATTACCAATAGACTGCACTAACCTGATGGCGGTAAAAGTATTAAAGGATAAAAACCACCTGCTGGTTGATAAATAACTCGAGCTAGTTGAACATCTCTATTTATAGTTAAATACACTATAACAAGCTGTTCATCAAATGATTTTACTGATTTATCAAGATAAAGTATACCCCATCCTATTCTATCCCCATGTTTAATACTTGCACCATCTAAAAAAGAATATAAAAGGACACAAACAAAATCAAAACGTCCAAAATTTGTGGTATAGTTTACAAGATTCAACATCTGTTTGACCTATGGTACCTTAGTCTCAGAAACAGGAATTTTTAGCTAAGCTAATCTGTAATAGTGTTCTCTTTTCTTGAGAATTTTTGCTTTGTAGAAAATTTAGATATATAGATTTAGAAAGGGGAAAATGGCACCCTTAATACGCCACAGACACTAATATCAACTAACAGGTAAATATCACACTAATAAAATAATAGTAGTAGGACAAACTTACCATTAGTAGCTCCAGAGTAACGTATTAAATCTTGCTTAAAATTGGATATTGATGGTGGATCAAATGGACTGGGTGTTGTTAATCCAATTATTGGTGAAGATTTAGATGGTTGAGGTGTATGTGGTATAATCACTTCAAAATGGTTAAAATCTAGGAAAAAAATTTAATCCCATGCAACAGTTGAGTCTCATACCTATTTCTAACAGCTTTATTGTACAATGGTTGTTTTCATTTGAAAGAGTATCAGGAATAGTAGCTGGTTTACTTTCACTTTATTTCAATTATAAGTCTAACATCAAAATGTATAGTTTTACCAACAACCATGTTCCAGCAACTATGAGATGCTATCATGAAGGATACATGGTTTTGTCATTCAGTAAGACCTTGAATGATCAAAATAGCTTTTAACCATGATTTTATCAATATCTTCATGTGTATATTTTCTTTTGGTTTCTGTAAAATATATATACTCTGATTTAAAACAAAACACCTTACCTTTATTTAAGCCTATTGGAGCTTGAATGGCTACAGGTGAAGAATGATCCTTAACAAAAATTTTGTCACTTTTATTATCAACATGGGAGCCAGGTGGAAGACACCAACTTTCAACATTATCCTGAAAATCAAAGTAGGTGGATATGGTTATCATGGTATATATGTTACTTGTCTCACAGCCAGAATTTTATTTTACAAAAACAATATTTGTCCCAACTAAATCTATTAATTATGAAATATTTTGATGAAAACTGTTAATAATTATAAGTGATTATATGTTGGTCAACTATATTGCTGAACCTGAAGACAAGGAAAGCTGTGACGTTGGTCTTATATTTCTTCCTCATAGACATTTATGTTCTGAGAGATCTTCAAATGAATAATCTGAAGCAATTGGTTTATGTGACTAAGATAAAATAATAATCACAAAATTTAAGAAGATGATTAAAATTATGATGATAATTAAAATTATATCTTACAATAGGAGCTTTAGGTGTAGCTGTATTTTGATTTTGCCAACAAACATCAATAACAACTTGATAACCATTACCACATAATGTTATAGTTGGTAATAACTGAGAATGGTCAGGTTGATTTAAATAACGACAACCAATCATATGATTATTTTTACTAAATGATATGACTGATGTTTCTCCAAAATATTCTAATCTAACTTGAACGGTGTCACCTTTAAAGCAAAATTTTGTATACATTAATATCACTTATATTCCATCCATGAGATTTAACCATGTCATAAAGATCGCAAAAAGAAACTATTGTTCTTCTGGATATTTTTAAAGAAATTGACAAGAAACTAGGCAATTTCGTAAAAAAAATCATCAATATATATTTCAGATGATAAACCATTTGGTTAGTTGTTCCAATTACTGTATTTTCTGTAATTAAATGTTGTAAATATATGATGCTCAAAATATCATTACCAGCCATATATCTTTCTCCACTAATATAACTTTCACTTCTTCCATTGAAATATAATTTGCCGTCTCTTGATAACCAACCTACAGACTTCTTCACTTTACCAGGTTGTTTTTTATCAGGAAAATCTAAACCAGCAACACCTATACCAACAAATGAATCTTCATCTGAAAAGCACAATTAAGTACTTTTTTGGTTAAATTGCTTGAATGTTCAGTTTCTTTCCAGTTCTCTTGTTTTATCTAATTACAAGACCTAAGGTCTGTACTTCCCTAGATTTTAACCATTTTGAAGTGATTATACCACATATACCTCAACCATCTAAATCTTCACCAATAAAATAAATGAAATTAATATATCTCTGTAAAGTGACTGTTCAGATTCAAAAATTATAATGATTTTTTATCATCACTGAAAAATAGGTCTGATCACTGATTATCACTATTATTGTACTTACTTAAAGACTGAACTTCTATGAAGAAACTATTCTGTATTTCTGTAAGAGGCTTCAAGAATTGTACAGCATGGATACCCATTGAATCTTGTGGAAGACGTAATCTGCACATTTGTTTACTGATTGTAAGATCCATATCTTGTGACATTCTAAACATACTCAAGGGAACATCTATAAAGATCAAAATATAATTATATATGATAAATCTATTTGACATAAAACATTAATGCACTGAATTACTGAAATTTTTCATTTTGCAGAGAACAATATTGGGATGAATACATGTGCCAGATGTTAACAGTGAAATCAAAAATAATTTTTCTATTAATGCCATCAGAGGGAGTAATCCTTTTTTTTTTTTATAAATTTCATTAAATAATTTGGTTTGTAATGTTCTGGTTTTCAAATTGTTCCTCTTTTCACATTCAGACTTGATAATATAAATAATTCAAAATATAGGCAATGTAAATTGATGTATGCTACCATTTTAACAAAAATGTTGTATATTTTCTTTACATCATATAGTACTGGTCATCAAACTAATTTATACCCATTCATCTTGTCATGTGAAGTTTGGCTTATAGAGTCTACATTGTGCTTTCCATGTCATTTTTTGTTAATGAAATATGTGATTAAGCTTGATGAATGCTTCATTAGAATTTCAAATATCTCAAAAGAAATTTTGATCAAGACAAAGTTTACTACATGTTTTTTGTCACATTTTTTTTGTTTCAAATCTATACATATACTTGCCCCTCATCAAAAGATCTTTATTCCAAGTTTTAGCTGCTTCGTTAATAGCATTTTGCATATCATTAAGTTTTACAACTGGACAGGGATTGGAAACAACATCTATCACAGCCTTAGATGCTGAAATAAATTTGTTTAACATAAAGAAATCACTGGTCAATACAGGGGTGTATTATGTGATTTTCTTGCAGAATCATAGAAAGGTAAAAACAATTATGTGAAAAGTTTAATTGTACATTGCATAGAAATTCTCAGACTGATATACTTCAGTTTAACAATCCTGACAATAAAATGTTCCATGCCTTGGAAATTGATACCTCAAATCATATATTTTCAGTTTCAAGTATGAACATTTTTGCTTATAATAAAAACAAATTATTTCTCTATTTCTGCCTATTACTCCTTCGAATTATGTCAAATCTCACCAAAGTCTAATGTGCACATATACCTGTATCTTTTAAAATCACTAACGGATAAAATCCACCTTCAGGTTGTAGAAAGATTTGTTTATGAGCTACAGTAGTATTAACAGTTATATAACATAGTACCAGTTGTTCAGCTAATGGATCAAAATCTTTTTTCTCTTTCTCCATAGGTAAATAATTTATACCCCATCCTAACCTGTCATTCTTCTGTAAAACACCTGTAAAATTGTTTTTACATTTACATGGATGTACCAAATATAACAATCACCAACAGCTTAGAATATGTCTATTTGCCAGAAACCTGGTAAAAACTCATTTCCTTGAGAGAAGTTGATGGCACATGTCAGATCACATCATAATAAATATCATATCAAATGTGATATATCACACCTACCTGAAGAATTCCAACGTAAGAAATCACGAAGTAAACTACTAGTAGGAGCTGGTTTGATTGGACTACAACTAGATAATGCTATGGAAGGTACTGTTCCTTCATCAGACACTTCTTTAATAACTACTTCAAAATGACAAATATCTGCAAAATCAGAAGATAAAGTCTAGACCCTCAGACATTCAAGTAATGCGCACAAACAAACCTTATTTGATGGTTGCCCTACAAATCTGGCTCTACTTGCTCTTAAAAACTTAATATACAGATGTGATATGGTCATAGAGACATACTCAAAAGTTCACATCTGATCCAATTTTCAGAACACTAGTTTTACAGAATTTAAGCATGACAAAAGCCAAAATCTTTGATACAAAGCTGAAGTACCCTTTCCGATATTCTGCATTGTCCTTGTGCCTCACACAATACTGCAATACAGGCCATGGGTTGGTTAAACCTATGGTGTTGTTTGTATATCATGCTTGAGGAACAGGTAGATAAATTCAAACTGAACACATCGTAGACTCGAAACTTTTTGTAAGCTTAATGCCTAATGCATTTTCTGACTTTGTTTGTAGAAGTTATTTGTATTGTACTTATCATTCATGAGTATGAATCCACAATTTCATGTCAACAACAGTTGGGATTAAAAAAGAGACAAGGACTTGGAAGTCAATGATTCATAGATGTTCGAATGTTACCTAATGATAATGGAAGAGGACTCTGTATTGTGACCTCTGTATCATACTGCTCCATTTTGAATGAGTTTTCAATAGAATCATATCTAACATCTGATGATGGAATCCAGTGCTCCATGTTTGACTGTAATATAAAATAGCTTGCGAGGCGAGGTAACATACGCCCACTGGCAGCTGTGAGAAATGATAAAACAGTCTTTAGTGACTAAAGTACGAATTTTCTCATATTAAAGAAATTTTATTAGTTTGAATTCAATTACATAAATTATATAGCATATTTATGCTGAGTAATTACACAAAAGTTTTTAAAATCAATATCAATAACCCAAATACAACAAACAATCAAATCACACAGCTCTAATCAAGGGCAAAAAACAACTTTAAATGCATTTTAACAAAGTCAAGGGCAATAACTCAAAAACTGTTCATTGAAAATGCGTCAAGTTAGAATTGGCTGAGATCTTATCAATTCCAATGATCATCAGAATCGGTTGAAAACTGTAGCTTCAATCCTGCTCACAGACTATTTTTAACCAATTTTGACACGTTTTTACAAACTCAAGGGCAATATCTCAAAAACCGTTCATCGAAAATATGTCAACTTCGGACTTGACCGAGATCTTATCAATCTAAAGCATCACACCAAATTTTATCAAAATCAGATGAAAACTGTAGTCCCTATAGTGCTCACAAGAAATGTTGACCGACGGACAGGGGCGACAACAATATACGATCACATATCCATGTGGGCGTATAAAAATATTCCTGAAACTTAAATGGACAGATGTAGGCCTATCATTTTTTTCACCAAGCATACCTTAAGCCAATCCTAAATGATTGTGTCCAGAATTATCATAGAAAAGACATCTACAGAAATAAGAAAAGAAATTCCTAGTTTGAGATATTTTTGAAAGAATTATGCCATTTGTGTACAATTGCAGTATTTCTGATGACTATTTACATAGATTCAAATCAACCCCCCAAAATGGTGCACCTGTCCCTTTAAGTCATGCAAGATTTTATAAAATCATTCATTTTCTAAACAAGCTTCTGAAACCAAAGTAACCAAAATGTAATCTAAGTGATTAAAATTCAAAGAATCTTTGTCTACCTCCCTCTTTCAAAATAATTCAAATAAATTATAAAAATTACCATTTGAAAGACTGGTCCATCTACAACAGCATCTGGCCATGTTATACCCAGATCAATTGGACCATTCTCTAATGATATGGTAGGTAATAAAGTTTTTTGATTACTTTCAAATAAATACCTAAAATTGAACATTAAGAAATCAATACCTACATACATTCTTGTTACTTATTATATTTTTCAAAACTCCCTCCAACTTGGTCTTAGATTGCAGGGATGTGCAATAAATAATACATTTTTATGCTATTCTAGATTTGACTTTTAAAGTTTAATCTTCTACTAGGAGGGAGGGATAGGAGAGATTTGGAAATTGGACTTGAAAACTTCTGTAGCGCTGGTAAATAATATTATAAAATTTTCAAATGCTTCTTCCACTTTCTAGATTCTAGAGCAAGGCAACATCTCAAATCAACAGTTTCAATTAAACAGTTCTAAAATATGATAAATGTGTTTCTTCAGATTTGTTCAGCAAAACAACAGCAAAATTGGTTATTTTGAAATATACTTTGAAAATATATAACATTTTTAAATTCTTCAACAAATTTTTGTCAAATGGGTATTCTGCTTTTTTTTGTAACAAAATTTCAGTATCGAAAATGTGTAAATTATACCTGAAAATATTTCTTAAGCATGCTATTTATATCTTTGTATTTACTAACTAGAAAGTGTTAATGAAAATCTTTTTGAATAATTTTGGCATTAAAAAATTAAGTCTCAGATTCTTAAATTTTCACAAATTTGAGCAATAAAAATTCAGACCAACAATAAAAGCAGAATGCACTTTGAAGGGTTAAGCCCTTGTAAGATCATTTATTACTTTTCTCCAAATGAAAATGACATTCTTGAATCAGCAAATTATAGAGAGTACTGTTTTACCTGGTGGCAACAGGACGTCCATTTTTTGAAAATACAACTGTGCATTTAGTTAGTCCAAAATATGTTATCTGTACACCAAAAATATCACCTAGAATTAGAGACATACTAGGAGTTGAAATATTAAACAAATATCATATAAACCTTATAGGCCTACTTTGGTAGGTTTGCCTGTCAAAATTTCATAAGACAACAACATGGACATAAAGATTATTTTTGTTTAAGCATTTGTTCAAGTAAACTAAATAAAGAAGGAATGCTTTAAAGGGGAATTCCAAAGTTTAATTGATTTGAGACACATTGACTGTATGATGGAATGCTAATTACCTATTCCAAATTTTTCTCCTGTGGTATTAGCTATTTCACTATGTGATGTATAACATCTACCACTATCACTATGGTAACCAACTGTATTATTCCAATTGCCAGGATGAGAACCTTCTGATATATCAGGACCAGCAATACCCAGAGTTATCTTACTATTAGATGCTGGAAGTAAAACATAATATTTCTCTGTGTTAGCTTTCAGATTAATACCTTAAATCAATAGACTATTTGGTGACTGTTCAGGCAGTAGGGAGCAGTATAGGGGTTTCCTGGTGTCAACACCAATGTGAGTCTCCAGGGTAAACACCTAACATAGGGTTAGGGCGGGCAGGATTACACAATTGAAAATCATCCGCAGACCTATTTATAGAGTAATTTGCACATTATGTAGATTGAAAACCAAAAGTGATAGCTTTCTGTAAGCTTATTGAAACAAAATTAAGGCTACAAAAAAGAAAATTTTAAGATTAATTATTACAGTAATCTTACCTAGAGATCTAATTTGAGCACAAAAATGAGGATGTCTTGGACTGAGGGGTTTTAGGTATTGTAAGAAATTACAAGTTTCTGAAAGATTTTTCAGTATAACACTGCTTGTCTGGCCTGGGTATGGCTGGGTATCATCAAATACAATATCTCCTGCACATCTATATAACTTCATCTTACAGCATATGCCACTTCTTCTTCATTTCTTACTATAGAGTTACAGAAAAAAGTATTTTCAGAGCAGAGAGTTAAAGTAAAACATGCAAATTACAGCAGTAAAGAAGTCTATTGCTTTAAATGGTATTTAGCATGTCTGATATCTTACAAAGTTTCATCTTAATCTGATGAAAACTATAGCCTCTACTTTTTTAGAAAAATTTCAGGCCGTAATTCATCAAGGCAATTGAGGCAAATGACTCATGCAGAATTTGCTGAAAAATTAGAATAAATTAAAAGAACACATTTTGTATGAAAAATTAAAAAAATAAATATTACATCAGCTAAATACACGGCTTATTTGATTTTAAACAAAAAGTACAGTAACAATCACCCGTATGAAATATTCAACTCAGCCTTACACTTCTTTTGAAATTTTTGGGGCAATACTGTATATTACCATATTTTGTCAATAACTGTCAAGAATTGGGCCTTCTAGAATGTTTACAGGCTTAAACTAGAACACTTTTTTTAAGAACAAGGTCAATAACTCATACTAAATATTTTTCAATTTTTCTGATTTTCAATAATTTTCATCCTTTGGGTGATTACAAACACTCACACCAAGTTTCGTCAAATCTGTCAAAAATTCAACCTTCTAGAACATTTACAAGCTAAAAATTGAACGCATTTTCAAGAACATGGGCAATAATTCATACTAATGATTTTTGGATTTTTCGGATTTTCAATAGGGTTTTCCCTGGGTGATAAGTAACACTAACACCAAGTTTCGTCTAAATTTGTCCAGAATTGTGCCTTGAGATAAAAATTGAATGTGTTTTCAAGAACAGGAGCAATAATTCATACTTAATATTTTTTTGATTTTTCTGATTTTCAATAGGGTTCATCCTTGGGTGATTACATCCAATCATACTAAGTTTTCTCAATATCAGTTGAGAATTGTGACTTCTAGAGTGTTTACGCTCCACATTGCATGAGCTTTGAATTGAATTTTTTGTCTCATTTCATAAATAATGAAAATAAAATTTTGAACTGTATACCATTTTTCTTAGAATGTCTTCGGGTACATATTGGAAATATAAGGTTCAGTTTTTTTTACTTGTAGAATAAACACACTTCCCTCCCAGAAAATTCATGTGAAAATGATCTACTTTTTGGACCTCATTCAAATCATTTTGACAATTAATATTTCTTTCAGTGGTTAAGATTTTCATCAACCCACAGACAATCTTAGACTCTCAGTAGCATTTTGTAATTTCAATTCATTCAAAAATGATTGGCTTAATTCAATTCATAAAACAGTGTAGTCAGAGAGTAGTTAAGGCCTAATCGACCCAACCCACTTCCAGGGATGCATTTGGTTATCTAATATCCATAGTTAATGTCCATGGTTCACCACAATTTTGGGTGTTGATTTGGGTCTCCGATATATATAAATAGGCCTAGTCTTCAGAAGTACCAAATCTGTTGGAAAATCACATAGGCTAATTCTTTTTTATAGACCTCAAACAAGAAATTTTATATTTTATTCATTTCGTTCACAAGCTTATCTTTTCTCTGAAGATTGGGGTATCCGCAGGCCCATGACCAGGCCATTGTGACAAGAGGGACAGCTACATTTGCATGGGGGCAAACGTAGCTGATAGAGACTGATTTCAGCCTAAATTGAGAATTTCTTCATAATTTTGCAAGGAGGGGGGAGGGGTTGGGGCAAATGCATTTCCAAGGGGGAGGGGGGCACTGCCTGAGTCTACGTATACACATGACGTCATCAACTGCTATTGATATGCATAATAAAAAATCTTGTAAAAAGAGGAGTCGCTTTTTTAACTTTCAGAGACAGATAATTATGGTCTGCTGTAAATACTATAACCAATTAGCTGAAAGCTTGACCCCCGGAAACGGCGAACCATTGACTTTAACGGTAGGGTGTGATTTGGTGTTTTATTATGTGGTTCTCCTGCATTTAGGGCAGTTATAATTCCAATTCATGTAATAAGATTTAATAATATTAAGAGTCCCTCCAATAGTGGTTTCCCCCTTTTCAATTTTCACCCGAGTGGTTTCCCCCCAGTGATTTCCTCCCCTATATATATATAAGCTTAAGGAATGTTAAGAAGGAAAATTTGAATTAATAACACATTTTATTTCATTTTAGATTTAAACATTAACAATATATTATATTATTTAAATATATATGTAGATCAAGATCATTTGGCAGAATACATCACTTGTGAGTGCAAATGAATGCTATAAAAATCTGTACAAGTTATATTCTCCCTAATTCATTAATTTTTTTTTGTATTTTTTAATAATTATATGTGTTGTAAAGACAATTGCCTGAAACAAATAAAGTTATTTTTTTAGGCAATCATTAGTGGATTGGTCTTATGTTCAATTTCAACTGGATATTAACTTATGTATTGGATTATTAAAATTTGTTTTAATAATTATGTGTCTCATAAGCCTCTTCTAGCTCGAAATCTCAATGTTTTAAATTTTTGTGTATATATTTATATACCGTACTAATGATTTGTGACACTTATTTAATAAAATAACTTATAGTATTATTATTATTCTTAACAACATGAAAGGGTTTAATTAATGACAATCATTACAAAATGACAATTACCCAATTTAAAAAGTTGATAACTGTAAATTATTGAAATTAAGTAATCAAAAATAAATTAAGGTGTATGAAAGAAGATATCGCCAAATAGTCTTTCTTTTCTCATCAGCAGGCTTGCCCAGCTTGGCATTAAATTGTGTATCTTATTAGGTATTATTCAAGGTAAGATTCAATTTCAAATCACGGCATGCCTTGGTCTTACAAGAACATTGCAATTTCAACGCAAATCAGCAATGTTGAACAAGTCAAATTTGAATAGAATTCGATAAAATGTTATATGTTATCATATGCTTACCAAAAGATTACTTATCTCTGAGTATATCTACCTAAGAATAACAATTTATTCCAATGGTTTCCTGATATTATGTTAATCCATCACAATAATTGATAAAGATTATCAGGTTTTTAATTAGTTTATTATATTTGGGGAGGAAACCACTTAGAAAAGGGGTGGAAACGACTAGGATTAAAAAGATGGGAGGAAACCACTAGGGAGGAACTTGTAAACGGGGGAAACCGCTACATGCCGAATCTATTATAATTATAATGGTCGAATGGTGGTCTTATTTAATTGGTTTACACAGTCAGACCTACAAAATATTGAATATCTCACAACTATATCAACATTTTCCAACATTGTATAACTAAATACATGTGTTAACATTTAAAAATAACATGCCAAACTCACGGGCGTGTATTATCACGCTAATTCGATTCCATTTCTACTGAAAGGGTTTTGTTCAATGAAGTAAGAGGATCGTATCCATAATAAACTCCATTTTGTATCCAAGGTAAACACTGTTAGTAAACCGTAGGCAGGAGTTATCTGCCACATGTATACAGCTCTATGGCCATACAAAGTAAGCCTACAATGTCAGCGACACGCGAGTAGCCTATTTATATATTCATTTCATTGCTCTAAAAAGAAAATAGCCTTTTTGATGTATACACATACAATGAAGTGTATAAGACTAAATGAGAAACCATGGTTTTATTTAAATGCTGCAACTAGCAATGCAAATGGGTTTTTAAAATTCAATTTTAAAAAGTGAAAATGTCACCAGAATTGTTCAACTTTCCAATTGACCTTATTGTGTCATAATGTTGACACCACTGAAGATTTTTGGTTGAATTTATTACAGTGCATAGTTGAATATTTGCTTAATCTAATAGTATCATTATTAATATGATAGGGATTGTATTTATTCAACTGCATCACTATGTTTTATACTCAAAATACTGAAAATCACCAGACAATTTGATGCTTTCTCTCTTTGAAATCATTATCAATACTCCTGTAGGCCTAGGCTACTAATTGAACTTCATGCATGTAAGAAACGGTAAAAAAGGAAACAATTGGTTGCCTAGCAATTTCAGACCCACTTCAAATAATACGAAAACTCTAAACGGGCGTATAAAAAACATTCACATTATAATAAAGTAAACTAATATAACAAGTAAGCAGTACTTTTGGCAAAAATAACATGAATAAATATGAAAACGTGGAATGGACGGTGGAATTTTATTACTGATAAAAAGATAGTGGATCACAGCCATATACGCCCACCATTGCATGCGGATGGTAAAAACGAAACATCCATTTTAAGTTTCCTCAAAATCGAGAGTAGTAATAGCATATCCAAGATTTTGGGGCAAGAACAATAACTCTGCTTCTAACGGTCGAAAATAGCTCAAATTCGAACTTGATCTTCGTTTTATGAATATGTATACACATACCGAATTTCATTTGATTCCATAAAAAAATCTTAATTCCATAAAAAAAATCTAGTTTTTAGAGCGTATACAAGCAAATGTTGACGGACGGACGCACGTTTGATACCTTCTGCAATTTTGCGTTGTGCGGCAAAGAAAAGAAAAGTAATAAATAAGTGATCAACGTCTGACAAAAGCATAGAGCAGAGGTCACTATCTTTTTGTCACTAACAGGCCGTTTTCTGCCATGTTCATTAAGTTCTATGCTCTGTACATTTGATGTATCAACAGATCCTTCAAGAATTAAATCTGAAATAGCAGTATTAAATGTATGATTACTAACACTAATTGATTCAATATGAGATCACAGTATTATCCATTATGGCGACCTACATGTCATCTAGCACTTAATATCTATAATGCTTAAGTTGATCAGCTCTATATTAAACTTAGAAAGCCAATAATTTCATTTTAATCAAACATAAAACATTTAAAAAAGATAGCTGGAGTTAGTTAAGATGTTACCTTCGAGAGATATATCATCCAGTTTCTTTGCAGCTAATTTGCTTGTGAGGTTCAAATTTTGAACCAGAAGAAGCTTACTTATTTTCACCCTTTCAATAAACCCACTCATTTGCTGGTAATGGTCCTTACCTGTCCAAGATTCTTACAAAGCCAATCCATTTGGTTGTTTTTCAAATCCATAACCTTAGATAAAGATAAAGATAATGGTTACATCTGTATCGAAAAATAGCAGAAAATCACTTCTGATTCAAACTGCTTTTTACTTTACAGAGGATGTGCACAAAAGGGGTGAAAATTAAAACCATTTAAAATCTCTTTGTCGAAATAAACAAAAGTAGATTACCTGTGTAAGTGTTGAAGTGTATTTTCGCATTGAAACACTTGTAATGTTTTCTGGGTTTTTAAGATTTAAATCTGAGCATATATTTTTCAATGATTCACAACTTCTCATAGCTCCATTTACTGAAATTTAACAATATACATGTAAATCGACAATTAATATAATTAACTATGAAAATAATGTGATTGCCGATGTAACTTTTCAATGTAGAAAATATATTATGTACATAAAATATATATATATATCCATGTCTGCTCGACATCATTTCAAGTTTTTGTGTGTCATATAGCACAAATAAAGATGGTGATAAGACAGACATTACTATTTTAGTTTGTTACAAATTAAGATGTGATTAGGTTATTATAATTACTTTTACCTGAATTTGGAAAGAGAAATCTGTTATCTTTGTTTACTCCAGCTTTTTCACGAACATCAGCATTAACGATAAATTCTAAAGGTTTTCTGCAATGATCAGGGATTATAACAGGAACTGGTTTTCCTCGCTGAAAAAATTACTTTTTAATGAAATATTCCCCTATCCAACTTTAAATCTTTAATGAATAGGAAATTTCACAAGTAATTATAGAAAATATAACGATACTTTTTCCTTTAATCAATTTATCTGACACATATCTACACATTATAGCAGATATAGCTTTACCTTTCCACGCACTATCATAAGGTCTTGGGATTTCAAAAGATGTTTTTCTAATAAGGACAATTCCCCAACTTTGATCCACATCTGACAGTTCTTTCCTTCTTGACAAAAAGCTTCTCAAATTGAAATTACAGTAATGCGGGCAACATTAAAAAGTTCATGATTCATACTAGAGAGATAATCATAATTTCTTGTAAATTAACTTGACAATCCTGTAATAATAGCAAAATTTCTAAATTCAAATTAACGCCCGTTTAAGAATGTTAAGAGTGTGACTTAACACATAACGTAATAAAAATAGTTTAGAAACTTCAAACAGAAATTTGTCTTATTTGAATTTCCAATTTGATAGATCTCGAGTACAAGGAGGTGACAAGTACCTGATGGCATCGATTTCACCAGACCGCCTTTTGTTGTAAGATAAGAGTCTGCATTGCAGGAATTTTACAATATGAAATAAGTTTTCTTTTGAAGAATTCAAGGAACATGTTGATAGTTCGCTAATGAGATGCTTATTTAGAATTTCAATATCTGACGGTGCTGGAATATCTTTGCTTTTCGTAAATTGTCTCTTCATTAGAACTGTGTACGCCAATTTGGTGACTTTTGTTTTGAATTCAAGTGACATCAGATGTAAAAACGTTTTACAGTCTTTTCTTTCCTTATCGTTTTGTTCTGTGCCTTTAACAACAAAGCTCCACTTAAACTTTGTCAATCTCAGAATGTCATATTTCAGTTTCAAGCAATTTGATGGAGATTTTATTTCATCTTCATCATCAATCAGTGGTATAGCAACTTCTAATGCAGCTTGGGCCATGATATCGAAAAATTCTGGTTTTATAAAATCCCACATAGACATGTGTTTTTCATTACCAGTATCTGCGACCAATTTTCTTAGCTCCACCAACAACCGGCCAGCTAACCGCATTCTTTGGGAGGAATAATGTGCCCTCTTCAGTGGGTTATCGATGTTTTGTCTTAACCAGCATTCACAGTGCCACAATCAAAACATCATTTTGTGCAATTTCAGATATAAGATCAACTGTCATTATTGAAAAAACTTCTTTCCTTAGGAATTCAGATGCATTTGACTTGAAACGTCCACAAGCGATGTCAGATTGCAAGACTAGGTTTTTCTTTGATTGTATTCCAAGTGCATTGTCTATACCCATACACTTAATCTGGTGCCGTTTAATATTGTTCTTAGATATCCATTCGTAACAATTTGGACATGATCCATATTCAGAAGCGTCTAAGTTTTTTGAAGGTCGTCTAAATAACAGCAATTCGCCTGACCCATTTTTTATTACTCTCCTATTGTTCAGATCATCTCATTCAGCTCACAAAAGTTCCAAGGGTTTTTCATTTCCAGCTGCATGGGCAGAAAAGGCATTGTCTACTTTTTTGATATGACAATGTTTTAGTTTCAAATGTGGCCGAATATGTTGAATAAGGTTTTGGCAAAATAGACAACAATTGACTGAATTGTATACTCTGTTCTTTACTTTTGATTTTAAGACCCGTCTTATGTAGATATTTGGATTTTTATTGTCTCCCAGGAATTCAGATCCATCAGTTTACAACATCAATAATTTCTTCCTCTTTATCCCAGTTAGAATCCAATACCTTTTCACCTTCTGCCTCTTGAGTTCCTCTATTAACCAATGAGACATTAACAGTAAGTCATTTATCTTCTTTCGCATTACTTTTACTTATCTTATCTTCAAATTTAGTCCAATTCTGTAACATCTTTGAAAGATAATTTCTACCATCATAATCTTCGTCATCCTCTTCATATTCACTAGCACTAATTATTTCATCAATTCCCAAAATATCATTAAGGGTTTCATTCCTTTCAGATATGTCATTCATCTCAGTATTCAAATTTGTGCATATCTCATTTGTAATCATCAGATCATCGTTATCTTTTATTTCGTACACAATATCAGAAAGTGCTTTATCCTTATTATTTCCACTCATCATTATCATTGATATCAGTAGTTTTCAGTGCAGAATTATCAGGGACATATGCAGTTCTCAGTAATTGACCATTATCAATAACATCTGTATTTTTCTGTACAGTGCAGAATTATCAGTGACATCTGTAGTTTTCAGTGCAGAATTATCAGCGACATCTGAAGTTTTCAATACACCATTATCAGCGACATATATAGTTTTCAGTAATTGACCATTATCATTGTTATCTGTGGTTTTCAATTCATCATTATCAGCGACATATATAGTTTTCAGTAATTGACCATTATCATTGACATCTGTAGTTTTCAATTCACCATTATCAGCGACGTATATAGTTTTCAGTAATTGACCATTATCATTGACATCTGTATTTATCAGTACTTTACCATTATTAGGGACATCTTTAGTTTTCAGTGCACCATTATCAGTGACATATATAGTTTCCAGTAACGGTTCATTATCAGTAATATTTGTAGTTTTCAGTAATTGACCATTATCATTGACATCTGTATTTATCAGTACCTCGCCATTACCAGTGACATCTGTACTTATAAGTACTTTACCATTATTAGGGACATCTGTAGTTTTCAATACACCATTATCAGTGACATATATAGTTTCCAGTAACGGTTCATTATCAGTAATATTTGTAGTTATCATTAATTCACCATTATCAGTGACATCTGTATTTATCAGTACTTTACCATTATTAGTTTTCAGTGCACCATTATCAGTGACGTCTGCATTTCTCGGTACTTTAACATTATCAGTGACATCTTTAGTTGTCAGTAATTGACCATTATCAGTGAAATCGGTATTTATGAATACCTCGCAATTATTAGTGACATCTGCAGTTTTCAGTACACCAATGTCGGTCTCATCTATAGTTTTCAGTACACCATTATCAGTGGCATTTGTAGTTTTTAGTACCCCAATGTTATTACTGACATCTGTATTTGTAGGTACGTCGCGATTATTAGATACATCTTTAGTTTTCAGTGCACCATTATCAGTGACATCTGTAGTTATCAGTACTTCACTATTATCAGTGACTTCTGCGTCAGTGGCGTGTTTATTTTTGAGGCCTTCATCTAAAAAAATAATATCATAACTGTATTCAAATTTGATAACTTAATGAAATTATACACCTATTATGGAGTTGGGGACGAGGTTATAGATGAAGACAAAGAAAAAAAAAACTGGTGGTGTAGTTAGAAAGAGACAGAAATATCTCAATACGGACTATTGCTAATCAAAATACTGACTGACCTAAAGCCCATTGTACATCATCCATAAAGCATTGTAATGAATTTAATTTTCCCTTCTTAAGTAACATGTCTGAAAATTGAGAATAACAATTGAAAATGTATTAGTCCAGCTTTCAAAATATGTTCAGGATTTGCTACACCATTAAAGTAAACTAAGCGTTTCTATTTGCACTGCAGATTTAGCATCTCTAAATCATTAAGTAAATTCAAATTTGGTTTTATAGCATAAGTATCCATTTATATTTAATCTCAGCTTAGAAACAAAATGTTAATTGTAAAGGCTGAACAAAACTGAACATATAACACCAACAATAATAACATTGTGTGGTTATTTGAATATCGAATGAAACAAATCAGTAACAGTTTGTTATAATAATATCATCTATTACAATGAGCCTACCAATTGCTGCTTGCCGTAATTTCGACATATTTTCATTGAAAGGTACAATTTCTGACAGTTTTACAGTGAACCTGAAAGTAAATTGGTTATCATAATATTTACTGTTGTAATGCAGTTGGAATTTTCATTCCCACCTATTATCTTTTGAACATTTTTATAGGACGTAGATCATAGAAATGTTACAATTAAGACCATGTATAAAGTATTGGGTATCGGGCATGTAAATGAAAACGAGAACATGTATCAAAATTTAAGACACTAATACTTACACAGAATCATCAAAGTTTATATATACACCGGCGGCAATCTGGCCCTTGTGCATAATCTTTCCAGGCCACATAACTGGTGTACCCTTTATTTTGGCCCAAACAAACATTTTGATGTACTGAAAAATTGGATTGGTTGAGCTCAATTTCACATGGTTAAAAAATTACGCCAAGTTTCGCTCTCCTTTGTATAGGGAAAAAAGCCCCCTACCAGGTCTCGACTTGCGTCGGAACGAATTTTTGAGGTGGGGGGTTCATAAGAAAAGAAAGACGCCGTGTGATATTCTCCTTTTTTAGGAAAAAAGTGGAGGGCTGGGCCCTCACCCAGCCACCCACTGCTTCCGACGTCCATCACATATAGATAAGTTTACCATTGAGTGAGGAGTCGAGACGATAAACGATCCTCTTCGCTTCTTCTTCTTTGACGTCCTGTTGGACACTGATCCCATGGACGACAATGTGGATACTTTTATAGGCTGGAGACACGACGTGGTTTAACTAAAGGCATTAGTGTTTCTCCTGTCGGGTTTGAACGGACTCGAAGCCATTTCTTTCTGTCGCCCCGAGATGACATTCATTAAACCCACGGGGGCCAAGAGTTCCGCTGCATTCTTCTTTAGGGTTTCTTTGCCCGCCGAAAAGGTCTTTCCTAATGTGAGGTTGCTTTTGACTGCTGAGAGCAATCCGGAAAACCGTCCTTCCCCTCTCTATCTCAAAACACCTCCTTAGAAAATACAATGGGCGAATCATTGTAGGCGCCGAAAATGAAGTTTGACGACAACCTTGCCTTGTATGAATGGTTTGGCTACGCCCATGCCGTTCCTTATATAGATGCTGACAGCAGTCTTTCGATCGTACTTGAGATGACTGTAGTGAATCTTGGATGAACGATGATAACCATGGCCGCTTTGAATCAATTCCAACAGCGGAGAGTTCACGTTTCCCACTCGAGGTTCTACGATATCAGCATACAAGTAAAACAAAATGAGTTTGTAAATCAGGAACGTAGCTTCTGCATAATCCTCCCTTTCTTAAAAATGTGTTGATCTATAATCTGACACAGTATATATTTTCTTTTATCTAAGTGTATAACTTTGAATATTCTTTATTGATAACTTAAATATGAAATGTCACTATAATAAACTGTCCGGAGGGCGGCGATCAGCATTATCGTTGTTGTTTCCACCATTTGGTACGTTAGCTAGTTGATCATCTATACCAGGTATAACTATATCAAAATCTTCACCATTTGGGTTATTCGGTAGACTTCATTAAAAATATCTCTGGCCATTTAGAGTGTGCGTCAACCATTATAAAAAACATAGGACCTTGAAATGGACCAGCGAAGTCAATATGTACTCGTTGCCAAGGCTTTTCTGGCCACTCCCATGAATGAAGTTGTACAAGTTAATGGGCATTTTGGATTTGTTGACAATTAGTACATTTCTTTACTATTTCTTTTATCTGATGATCAATACCAGGCCACCAAACATAACTTCTGGCGAGCGCTTTCATACGTACAATACCACTATGAGTGTCATGTATTTCCTCTAAAACTCGGCTTCGGAGCTTCGTTAGCAGAATAACTCTATTACCCCACATTTACTACTGATATCTCATTTTTCCGTAGAATAATAAGCAGCTAATCGTTTTTATGTTCTACTAATTCATAGCATTCATATACTTTCATAAGCACATGATCTTTAATAGTTTCTCGTCTAACTTTTTCACATGTAATTGGCAAACAGCTGAATTGAGACAACTGAAATATACCATCAATATCATTGGTACCAATATCCTTTGATATTACCGGCAAACGTGATAGTCCATCGGCGTTTCCATGTTTTGTTGTATTTCTATATTCAATATCATAATAAAAACTAGTTAGAAATAATGCATATCTTTGCAAACGAGAAGCTGTCATGGCAGGAATTTCCTTTTTAGGATTAAAGATACTTGTTAATGGCTCAATCCTCGTCGCCAATTGCCGTGTTCTGCTATAAGGGGTTGATTAATAGATAATACTATATATATTTAAGACACATTAGGTTCTTTTATTAGCCAGTGTACAAGAGATAGCATATTATTAACATGGAGGCTGACATCACCAGTTATTATTTCGCCAATTCCTCGTCGAAAGAGGAGAGCGTGAAAGGTTCGCCAATGGTCAGTGATTGGATCAAACGAAGAGGTCAGCATGAGTCTTATCAGGCCTTTTTGAGAGTGCTACAGCTGAATAGGCACGCGTCAGAAATATTTTACGTATGGATGTATCTTCCTTCATGGCTTATTAGCAAATGTGGTCAGGGTGGTAACTGAGGTCTTTTTTTCTTTGAGGCAACAGTTCTGTTATCTTTCATTACGAGGCTTTGGTAGACTTCAAACGGTAATTACCACCTATATATATATACCATAGACGTCAAATAAGAGGATAAAATCATTATATTTTTAATCTATGTAAAATGTATTCTATGTTATTTTTATTTCAAATTCGCCATAAGGCATTGTCCTTGATGAAATGACGATCCTGGCAGTACCATTAATTGAAAAGGAAAAGATACAGTAATAAGATGTATTAAATTCATTGTTCACACTTATCCGTGTCGGCTGCTATACTGAAAGCTAAGTCACATGACGTGTATACGACTGCTGATTTGTTAAAGACTAATTTAAATATTGCCAACATTTGTTGTGAAGATGAAACATGCAGCTACATGCAGTTAAAAATTTGAACAACGTCAAACATGTTTGACAATGTTCCTTGTTGTTGGGAAAGCCGATCAGACGATCAAGCATTTGTCCACAATCACGGTCATACAAAATACGATGTTTCAATTTTTTCTCCGTCACACGTCAGTAAACACGTCAGACCCGTCAGTATATACGTCAAACACGTCAGTAAACACGCCAGACACGTCAATTTTATAAGGTAGCATCGACGTGTGACGTGTTTGCCGTGGTGACTGACGTACTGACGTGTGACGGAGAAACAATTGGAAAAACACGTTGTATGGATATCGGGTGGTATAATTAACTTCTCTTAGTATTTATCTTTAATATCAATTCATTATAACTAGTGACAATTCCTTCAAAGAACCACGATTTAAAAAAAAAATAGTGACTGACAAAATATGATACGTAGCGTGATTTATTGCTAAAAGTCACTGAAACAACATAAGAATATGGTCCACTTTGTGTTCCATAGAAATTTTCTGCTGACACGGAATCCGCTAGTTGATCAAGTGACTTCATTCGTTGGAATATATTCTAGCAGACGACACTTGGAATTCCGATTACCGCTTGGGATTATAAGGAAATTCGGCCGATAAAAAATGGTGACGTTTGGTAATAACTGAAATCCGCCACTAGCTGATATTGTACAGAAAACCCATGTTTATCAAATCAAACTAATGCGGAGGTCGCGCAAGGTCGCTCATGTAAATTATTAATCCTTTCCGGAAATCCACGAATAATAGGTTTCCACGAAATTAGATTACTCGACTGTACTTCTTATTGTGACAATTGGGAAGAAGAGATAAATTTATCTGCGGATACCAATCTCGGTCCGTCTTTTCACAACCGAAGACTACCGATGACCACCGAAGACCTCATTTTAACCACCGAAGACCTCAATTTAATATCTAAATCACTTTTAACGGTTCTTATGGTCAATTTTTCATCACGTAAATGCACAATATGTCCTCTAACAAGCTGTGACAAGTAAAAAAAAACTGAGTTATTTAGTTAACGATGATGTTTGTGTTCAACGTTAAAATGGAAAGGCAAAGATTTGAATTCCACCCAAACTCGAATAAAATACTGTAGATCAATTCTATATCAATACATTTCCAGATTAACAATTTATCATCAAGCGCATTTGGGAGCAAATTATACTAATAACACCAAAGAGGGCAACATATCACTTAGGAAGGCTTTCATTTGAAAAGCATCAGGGAATGCAACTTTACACATAATTTCCGATATATCAGTCTTCGATATTTTATGGGTAATTGTAAATAGCCTTATTAATTTGTATTGGCCTAAAAAATCCCAATCATCATGGCATAGATTCACCCGACGGAAATGTTAAAGAAATAATTCCATGAAACAGCCTACCATTTGTGTACAAAAAAGTGGGAAAGCCTTTAATTATTAACGCAATAACAAGTACACTGTAATTATTGCAATACCGAGTATTTGCAATTTAGGTTTATAACATTGTGTCAATAATATTGTTTATTCTCATGAGGGCTAATCCCATTTGAACTAATATTATTCCGTATTTTTCCCCGTCTACACTATCAAACATTTGTTCAAAAGATCAAACATTGTACACGAAAATAGGTGACGCATTCTGCCGCCGTTGTCGAGTTGGTTGCTCATGAAATATGGGTGAAAGTGAAGGATTCATAAAGAAAATCGAAATAAACCAATTATGATTATTTTGTAGAATATCTGAGGAAACATCTAAGACATAAATTTTTTTTTTCGTTTTTTTAACTTTGACGAAATTCGGTGTTGAATCCTTATATCCACGAAAATAGGTTACACCACTGTAATATCCGATAAGAATTATCCGAATTATGAATAGGGTGTGGGGTTAATGGGTGTGGGTCCAGTGGGTTTAAAACCAATCTGATTCAATAGCCATGGCATACTTACAAAGATATCCAGCTAATGTTGCAGGCAATTTTTCGTCACAGCTGCAGCTGCAGTCAATGGTACACTAGGTGATAGAGGCTTACGCATACGGCGTTTGTCCGTATTGTACCCCGATTTTAAAGGAACAAACCTGTGGATCGCGACGAAAAAGTTATTTACATAATTATTGGCCTACTTCTTTTGTATCTGTTCGTCAAAGAAAAAAAAGCAAAGATCAAAATATTGACATATATAAAGTCCCTTAATTTACCTGAAAGTTTTTCTCCAAAGAAAATAACTCTGTCGTAATTTCTTAAAACGCCAAATCTATCTAATAAAATCTTTTACAGAGCCTATTTTTTTTTTTGTTGATGATGGGAAGCTAACGTAATTATCGTGGCCCAACCGCATTAAATAGTTTCAACAGTTACCTTAACAATTAGTACCACCCGTTTTGTATTAACTCCTTTAAAACAAATTCAGTTTGATGAAGTAGATGTAGTAAATAGAAATTTTTAGAAAATATTTTCAGGTATAATTTACTTGTTTTTGATATTCAAATTTATGCATTAAACAATATCAGATTGTCCCTTAAAATGCGATAATGAAAATTTAAAAAATTTAAGCAACCAGTTTGTTTTTGTATAGTAGTCTTAAAGTCCTTTGTGCTCTTGAAACATGTTAGACTTTAGGAATACTAAGTTTTTTCTATAGCAGATTATTTTTTGAATGTTTATCCATGTGTTGTGCTATAGAGTATCCACATTATTTGGATCAACTAAAAATGGACCAGTAAAAAACTTTGTGAAATGGTTTGTGTGTCTTCTATTTTATTGAACACAAACAAATGTGGACGTGTTTTTACTAAGTCAAGGGCAATAATTCAAAAAGCGTTTACCAAAAAATTCTTAATTTCAAATTTGACCAAGATCTCAAGAATATAAATCATCACATGAAACATGAGAATTTACAAAACAGCTTTTATTAAATATCTCACAAAGATATATATATATATGTAATTATAAGAATGTTATATTTTCAAATTAATAATACGCTAAGAGATTTGACAGTTGATTAAATAATGAATTGAATAAAACACACAGATTTTTAGTAATCTTATCTATGTGGACATTCGAAAGAGACTCCCAGTTGACAATCTCAGTTGCAGGGCAGCTATAAGGCACTTCTGTGGGTTACAAGATCTCTCTTGTAACCCACAGATTTTGATTCAGAGATTCAGAATCAGATTTTGATAAGAAGTTGGAATCAAGACTTATCAACACGTAAACAAATATGTTCTCCTTTAAGAAAGAAGCTATCTACATCTTAATAAACATTTCAAAGTACAGATGCACGATATATCATATCTTGCCAGGTTTAAATTTAGACATTTGGCAGGAAGGCAGCAATAACCAACATGAAATATTTAGCCTTAATTCATACATTTCTTGTAGAACTATACCGTTAAGAGTGTTCTATACAGTAAAAAATTTGGTATAAATTTTGAAGAACAAGGGCCAAAAGTTAAAAAAATATTTTTTTTAATTTCTGAACTTGGATATAATTTAAATAAAAACAATTATAATTATTACACTACTTAAAGGGCCAACCAATTTTATTTTGTGTAATATATCTAAACCCTTTTTATAGTATCAATACCTTTACCTAGCAACCAAAAAACTGTTTTAAAAACAAATTTGAGAAAAAAAACAGGATATTTTCAGTTAAAACTTTCAAAAAAGGTAAGATGATGGTTTGTATTTTTAAAGTATTTCACTCTCCCAACCACAAATACTGGTTGTTTAAAGCTGACCTGCCTTAAAGGAGAAACACAATTTGTGATTACAAGCTAAGAGCAATAATTTGTATAAGACATTTTTGTTATTTGTAAAAAAGTTCATCATTGAATGATCAAAGACAACTTCATCAAGTTTCAACAAATTGTTGAGCAATTATTTTTAAGAGAAAGGGTGTATTCAACATATTTCAAATGGGTGAATTAAGGTAGCAAAACATTGCTTGTCTTTTAGATATAAAGACGTGATATTCAAAGCTTTTTTACGACAGCAAACAAGCTTCATTCTACAGTTGCTTTTTCGAATATTTTCAAATTTTGTTAACTCTAGCAAAATAAAGTTGGTAATTATAAAACATCTAACTAAATCTAAATTGACATTTTCAATGGCCATTACAGAAAATATCTATATTATAAATTATTCATAAATTTAAACATGATCTTTATCACAGATTCATTAAAATTAAAAAAAAAAAACCAACAAAATAAGCTCTACTATTATAAAAAATTTCAATAAAAGGAAATAAAAAAAAGGCTTTATCCAAAATAATCTTCATCTTTTTTAGTGAACACATGTAAAATAGTTTTCCACACATGTATAGCATGAATACCCAATACATTTTCTGGCCATGTCAAAAATATATCTCCATTTACTTTATCATATTCAGGTGGTCTATGAGCAAAGTTTGAACAATTCTCCAATTCAACACAAAGTAATTCTTTTAATCTGTAAATATAGAATAATTGAAGATATGCATCAATCAAATATAGCCTTCTTTAATTGCAAGTACAAATCATTGTTTGTTGTCCATTCACATTTGGTTCATGTTTAGTCTATAGAGAATTTTAAGCAAACTTGTATTGCATCATGGCTAGTTTTTATTGCATGTCTTGATTCCTGCACATAAACTACATGTTGGCATATAAAAATCAAAAGAATTGTTGAATGAAGAATGAGCACAAGTATAGCAATATAGCTAAAAGAATGAAAATGCTAAGTCAGACACGATATTTCGGTGGAAATATTATCAGATCATCACGAAAATCGATAGGGATCATCTTCATAATGACATTGACATACAAAATAAAAATCAAAAGAATCTGTAAATAATTGTAGACAGTAGAGTGAGCACAAGCTAAATGTGAACGGACAGGGTGATTAAAATATACCTCCAAACTATTTGTGGGCGTATATAAAATATATCTTTTCATGAATTCTTTTCAACATCCCTACTCTTAAGATTCTGTACCACTGAAAAAAGGGCAAAAACGGCCCATTGTATTTGAATTTAGCGCAACAAGATTCATGAAAACAGTAGCTCTCTTGAAACCCTTCAAACTGACATTTCATGCTCTTAAAACATGTTAGACTTTAGGACTATTATAAAGGTAACCTACTAATAGGATCAACTAGAAATGGACCAGTAAAAACTTTATTATATGGCTTGCTTGCCTTTTTATTGAAGATTTTCATGTGGGTGTATAAAATCCATATTACTCACTTCATTTCTCTATATTCCACTTCGGGTTGTGCTATTTTAAGAAGGATATTTTCATAAATGAAATGCAAAATAACTTCCAATTTTTCTATAGATAATTTTTTACATTCCTCTTCTATTACAGTCTTATCACTGTCTTCCACTTTAACATTCAATCCTTCCTCAAAATCAACAAATGAATCCTGAAAGTCAGATTTAAAATTCTGTGTTTTTTTTGTACATCAAATTCGACTAAAATAAAGATTGAACACATAACACCATGGTCTGAAAGAATGGCAAGCTTAGGGACCTGGGCCTGGGATCAAGAAAAGAACTCCAAAGTCCAAGCTTAAGTTAGAACTTGAGTCTTAAGATTTGTCTCAGCAAAGACATGAACTCAAGACGGATCATGAAACATATAAATCTATACTAATGGCCTTCCCTCATGATTTTGGTCATTCATTGGGTAAAACTAGACCATTAAATCTAAATCTGAAAAAACACACAAATCCAAATCTTTAATTTATATTTAATACTAAGTTTTTTTCTTGATCCCGGGCCCTGGCTAGCCAGATTAGTGCTGTAAATAGTTATTGCCATTAAAAAATTATATTTACTGAGTTTAGTTTATTTATAGCTCAGTGTATAATCACCACAATCAACCAGTCAATCAGATTTGATTTTGATCAAAGCAATACGGAAATATGCTGTTGAGCTCTATTAGTTTTTAAAACAAATATTTTGACGACTGTATAGGGTTTGACCAGGCAAGGTAATATACGCCAACTGGCAGCTTTGATTTTAAATAAAAATATTTAGCAGTACAGTAACAATCACCAGTATGAAATATTCAACCTTCAGTCATACACTTCTTTTGAACTTATTGGGGTGAAACTGAACAATATTACTAAGGTTTGTCAAAATCAGGAAAGAATCATGCCTTTTAATATTTACGAGAACGGGGTCAATAACTCATATCAAATATTTTTTTATTTCTATATTTTCAATAGGTTCATCAGAGGGTAATAATAAACAATTTCACCAAGTTTCGTCGAACTCCATCAAGAACTGTGCCTCCTAGAATGTTTAAATACTAAAAATTGAATGAGTTTCAAAGAACAAGGGCAATAACTCATACTAAATATTTTTTGATTTTTCTGATTTTCACTAGGGTTCATCCTTTGGTGATTACAAACATGCACACTAATTTTCGTCAAAATACATCAAGTTGTGCCTTGTAGAGTGTTTACGAGCAATTGTGGACAGTCGGATCGACAGACATGGGTGATGCCAATATACGCCCCCTCCCATTTTATGCGGGCATATAAAAATGAAAATGTGGAAATCTTCATTTATCAACTTTGTAATATGTTTTCATTATTAACTCCTTGAAAAAACGAATTGTGTAAATATGTAGATATACTTAAAGGGGCATTCCAATTATATTCATTATCAAAAACCTAGTAAATTATACCTGAAAATATTTCTAAAGTATGCTATTTATATCTACTTGACCAAACTTTTAATTTATTTATTTTAAAAGTTTTCATTAAAAACGAAGAGTACTAATTGTTTGACTTAGTTTTGTTGTTTGGCTTTATCAATAGTTGAAACCTTTAGTATATGTAAGAGACATATTTCTCTACAACCAGGCATTTATTTTTACCAAACAGCTTCCAAAAAGCATAAAGAACATTAGCAGTTATGTAAACTTTTAAAACAGTTTGGGCATTTTCAGTTAAAACTTTCAGATATGTTAAGGGACACATTTCCCTGGATTTTGGTGACCTACAAATAAGCGGAATGCCCTTTAAGTCAAAGTTTCATAACAGAACACAAGATAATTGGATAATAAAAAATACAAATAACTTATATGTACCTTTTTTCTTAATGTTAATATTTTTTCTTTAGCAAATGATAAAATTAACCATAATGATTGGATATGCTGCAGTTTACACTCGCTTCTAGCCTAGAAATAAAATGTGACATGAGACCACAGTTAACAGCTCATTACAGCTCAAAACTTGCTGCAGCTCTTAAAGGAATAAAACTTGAATGTATAAATATGATCACTAAAATGAAAAAGGATTACTCTATAAATTGTAGAGTGAGCTTAGATTAAAGTGAGTTAATCGAGGACAGAACAAACTAACAGTAAAACCTAAATCAAGACCATTGTAAAAACTTATATACAGCAGCCTTTTTTTCATTTCACTGACAAATATAAAATAAAAGTAATAGTGAATTCAGATGACAAAAGCTAAAGCAGCTCGACTAACTCTGTGACCTAACGCATCAGCGAGCTGATGACATCAATGTCAGAACGAGGTTCCGAAGATGCAAGGTTCGCAAAGTCATCACGTGGTGTGATCGCCCTGGTTTTGCCCATTCTAGGCCTGCCTGACATCTGCCTCGTCTGCCTGTAACATTGCATCAAGTTTGTTACAGTAACACTTGAACAACTGAAGGTTCTTGCGATGTGAGAAATTCCCAGAGCTTGCTCCGTTGTTGCTGTGTCATTCTTCTTGTGTATAGTTTTATTGTTGTGTAAGCCTGACATGCCATTCAACCCAATTTTATACCCTTTGTGCTTTTTTGTGTATTCAAGGATTTTAACTTTTTGAGATTTTCCCACCACTATGAGCAGTAATTGGGTATAATTCCTACAAACATTATTGTTATGTTTGGGAAATGTAAGTTGGATGGTTCGAAGTTTTGATCTTGCAATATATTTTTTTGTTAAAATATACTTTTAAAGTTAAGAGCTTCTTTTGGCCTTCAGTTTGTAAGGAAAGGAATCAATTTGCAAACTATGATAAAACATTTTCTTACTGTTGGAGACATAAGGGAGGACTGCATTTTCAGTGTATCAGACATAAAGATATGTATATTCATCTCAGGCTCACCACCTAGTGATTTAACAAAGGATGTAGCAACATCCAAGTTATTAATAGAATCACAAATATTGGTTAGTTTCTGAAGTTCTTCAGTTATTTGTCTCTTCACTACAGAATTTAGATGAATCTGAAAATAAAATTACTTCAAAATATGATTCAAGGGATTGCAATGAGGTTTTGTAAAAAAAAAATTCTGTATTAGAGATCCTGAGATTATCGATTTGCACCATGGTTCTTGTAATTGAACTAAAGGTGTTTTATGACATCACTATCACAAAGCAGCTTATAACCGCGTTTCCACTGAGCTATACTACTGAACAGCTGTTTTTAGAAAAGTGAACAAAGGAATGTTTACTTACTAATATTTAATCAAAAAAGAAGAAAAAGCACATATTCCCTCATCTGTATAGACATGGATATAACTGGGATATGCAAAGTTATTTAAATTGACGAAAGAAAGTTAAGAAAGTTGGTTTTGTTTCTGTTAATAAAAGGAAAGAGCAGCACGTCCCCTATTGTCAAATGAGATAAAGCTTGCTTTTCAAGTTTTCACTTGGTAAGTGAAAGCAGGCTTTAAGCTAGCTTTCATTTGGCCCCTGATAAATTGCCGAATGCAAAAAAAAGGTTTTTCGGTTCTCGATCCGTTACAGAAACACACAAAAGCTAGCTTAAAACCCGCTTTTTCCCTCAGTGGAAACACAGTTAATAATATCTAAGGATCTTTATGATAGTGATACCATAAAAATTCTGATTGAAAATTGGAATTATGCAAATCGATGATATAAGTGTCCTCAATACACATAAAAAGTTTAAAAGCCTCTTTACAATCCCTTTAAAATTAACACTGGTACAGCTCATTGTCATCTAAAACATACTGTAAGACTATAGCAATTAATGTCTATAGATGTTGAACTGGATTTGATGAACGGTAGAACAACCCTTGATGACATGATTGTCAAAATCTTGTGTAAACAGTGTAAATATGCATAAGCATACTAAGGTTTGTCACAATCCAATCAAAACTTTAGTCATTATCTTGTTCTTGAGCCAAATTTGACATAATGTATATTGGCTAAATCAAGGGCAATAACTGATAAATTCATGACAATTGATCTTCTGGTATACCAAGTGTCATCAAGATCCGAAAAAACCAAATTTGTCTATTTTTACCCAATAACTCCAAATCCAATCATCAGATCATAACCAAATTTGAACCTTTATTTCATAAAGATCTGATAAAAACTGCAAACTCTACCATGTATATAAGAAATGTGGATGGAAGGACAGATCATAATAAGATATAAAAAGATCTTGAGTTTCCTTTGTTTCATGTGATTGAAATTTACAGACATAAATGATACAAACCTGTGGAATAAGATTTCTTATTGCTGTAAATACCAAAGCATTACTTGAATCAGCTTTAAATAACATTGTTTCTATCTGAAAAAAATAATTTTTACATTGACAGGCAATATGACATAGACAATTGTTAGAAATAAATATCTCTTGGAAAAATTTTGAAATTGCAGAAAATCCCCAAAAGATATCTGCTATTAATGAATTCTACTTTTAACTATTTGACTCAGATCTAGTAGCTATCACTCGCCAAACTTTTATACGTCTTCTGTATCTACATTCGGTAACACAAAAATGGGTTATCAAGCTTGCCAAACAATCCAATCTTTTTCACAGATTTTTTGTGCAAATTGGCTACAATTTATAATATAACCAACTGTTTACTTTATTTTGATTTGGAGAAAGGTATATTCTTGTTCAGTCCAGACTTTAAGAGTTTATAACCCTGCTTCCTCTATTCTAAAACAGAAGTGGGGACATTTCCAGAAATAGAGATGTCCTTTATACTGAACCATAATAAAGACTCTTAGAGTGATATACTGACAATAACATTAAACTTACTGCATGGCTAATGAAAATAATAAAAATTTCCTAAGAATAATTTCATGATGTGGAATTTACATGTTTTAAAACTTTTTATCATAGATTTCAATCAATCCTTTCTTTCTTTTATGGACATTGATTGCTTTAAGAAATATTGTTAATCAGATGTGCCAATTATTGGTAGTATTAGAACAATTAGAAAGTTGTCTTACTGGAATAACTGGGCCATTAGTCAGAATTCTTGATTTTCTACTGAATAAACGATCTACAGCCTGGTTCTCAAAACCATCAAAGTCATAGGTAATCTAAAATATAAATATCAAAATATGTGAATATATTTGAATATTAGTAATATAAAGATATCTTTTTAAGTTAAGACAAACTCTCAGTCCATCATCTTTAAAAGGCCATGGTTCGTCATTTTCGGGGGTTGATTTGGGTCTTGAAAAACACATAATTCTTAGAAAAATGGTTTGTTCCCCCTAGTTGTACCCCCAATTTAGTTTTAACAAATTTAAAAACAAGATTTTTATAGGTTTTTGCAACAAAGTATGTGTCAGAATGCAACAAATCAATTAAATTTTTCAAAAATGTTCTTAGGGATTTTGATTTTAGTCTTGACAGTTGTCCTGTCATTGAGATCAGCCTGCCCCCTATTTGTACCCCCTGGCATGCCATCACTGCTTGATGTGTAATAACCCATGGATCAACTTTTGATTATATTGAAATCCATTTCAAATATTATCTAGTTTGACATGATTTGACACATTCTTATTACATCATGGCCAAAAACTCTTATTGCTAAAAGATTATTTTCAGGTGAATTGATATATTTAATTCATATTGGTAAATGCCATCGATAAAAATTCAAATATCATTTTTTTTTTTACATGGGATAATCTTCATATGAAATTTCCTAGAAGAAATCAAATTACTTCAAATTACAAAAACTTTCATCAAAATTTTTCATCAAAATCACATTTACTATTTTAAAGTAAAATAAAATCGTACTAGTAGTGTAAAAATCAAGAAATGTATACAAGTACAAGTACACCATACATCTAGTTAGGATCCTTGTAACAAGTAATATAATGTTTTTTTTTTACCTCAGATCCTTTATAGTGTAGATAGAATGAATAATGACAATTACTCAGGACTAAAGGTTCAATATCTTTTACAAGGTGGAATGAAAATAAATGGTAAGTTGTCAAGTCCTTGGAATGAACAGTTATTATATCTTCAAACCTACAACAATCAACATTACAGTTTTTACTACAGAGATTGTATATAAATTTTGATCAAGTATTCATCATTTTTTTTATACTACACGAATATGAAACATGAGTAAGCACTGCACACACTGCTGGTGGTCTTAACATAATTTAATGTGTTACCATAGTCTATATATTTGCTTTACTGGCTGACTCAGATCAATTAAAGTACTTTTCAGGATACAAATATTACTTAAGTATGCAGATAGACTCCAAAACACATCCATTGCTCCACTCGCTGAGCATGCAGGAACATACATCTTGCCAGAGGTTCTTTCCTAATTCACATTCCTAATTCACATTTTTACACGTTTTGATTGCAACAATTTTTTCAAATGCAAGCAATATATTAGAACATTTTACCAAAGGCATCAGATTTACATTTAAACTTAAATACATAAAGGAATACTACTTCTTAGAATGGACATAAAATTTAAAGTCTCAAACTTGGTCAACTAGTTGAACTTACCAGGTGCCATGACTAAGGAATGGGATCTCTATATAAAACAATAATACATTAAACTAAGTAATTATTGAAAAACGCTTTCTAGATATGTTTCAAAATTACTTACTTTAATAGATTATTAATTTGTTTAATGGATTTATTCGATTATAGAGGGATTCTGTTATAAAGTTATGACACCAGGTAAGTCCAATGATGAACAAGGACTCATTTTTAAAAATTTCAATTCTTATGTGATCATCTTACAGATCTTACAGATAATATTTATCTCTAAACTAAACAATACAGTTTATACATTTACTTACTTTTGTTTTCTCAAAAGACAGATACTCTCTAGAAATTCATTATGTTTGCGACACAGGAAATCTACCAAAATGTATGAACATACACCTGGTCCCTTTGTAGATGGTAAGAAAGCTGCTAATCTGGATTTCAGATCCAACTTAGCATTATGATATTCTGATGGTAAACTTAATAATACATTGTCATCTATTCTACAAACTGAAATAAAGACATTGATATATATATATAATAATAAAATAAAATCAGATATCATCTTGAAATACTAACTTCCTTAAGTGGAATCAGATACCAAATATCATATTTGACAATGAGTTCAAGACCTCAACATGCCGTCATCAGTCGACTTTGTGGTTAATGTTTTTGTATGAAACTTCTGCAGGGTGTCACACATCTATAACTATTACATAATAACCATCATCTTTTCTGTTAGCTTTAATTTCACTTTGAATTTCACTCGTTAATAATTGTTATTTTATTTGAATGGTTTATTTCAAATACGAATATTCACCAAACATTTATCAATGTTTTCACCATGGTCCAACCACTTTAATGACCTTGACCATCATTAGGACAGACAACACTGAGATTGATAAGTGATGTTCTTTAATGCAAATGGCTTTAAATTATGTTCTATGCTAATAATCAAGTACAGTGAGAAGTAGATCTGAGTTAATAATCCAAGTATTTTGTTTCCAATCCCATGTGCAGGTAAAAGTAGGAGTGAAATAACAAAAATGGAAATCGTAGAATTATTAGGTACATTACCATGTGATACAAGTTTTTCTTTTAATATTTCCCATGCTTGAATAAAATTGTCAAAATACTCTAGAACCTCTCCATTATCTACAAGTATAAGTTAAAATGAATCGGATTATCATCTGCTTGGTGATTAGGTGCTGTTGGTTGGATCTTCAAGATAAGAAAAAGATAAGTGCTCCCGAGAGTCCCCGTAATACCTAAACATAAGCATACGGTTTTTGCAAATTTTGATGTGAAAATCATACTTGAAAAATGAAAACATGACACAATTTCTCTTACACAAGGATTCAGTGTCATTTGTTATTGAAGGGGGCTAAGAATTAATCGGACCGATACATCACAATTATTTTTATCCAATGCAATGCATCGATAAGAAGGAAAGTATCTCAGTTCATCGGTTCATCGTTGCAGCCTTATCCTAAGCACAATAAATACATGCTACTTGCAGTATCAAGTTAAGCGCTCATCTGAATAAGGTTATGAGGCATATTTTCTATTGCTAATAAACAAACATATTTACATCAACTCACTACTAAAAGTCAATCAGACATAGTTTTTGCTATTCTCGATCACTGTTTGACCCCAGACCCTTAATCAATTAATAAAACGAGCTTGAAGATTAATCAATAATTTCTTTGAATGTCCTTGTATATAAAACAAGTGGTACCCTAGCAAGATACGTCCACTTTCCTGATACATTTTCAGTATATCAAGGGCAGTCACCTATCTGTATCAAATCATACCAAAAATCTAATTTGTGCAAGATATTTTTGATTATTTAATAAAATTCTGACATAAACTGTCACCTCTATCGCCAACAAATTTTGATGAGTTTTTACTAAGTCAAGGGTAATAACTCAAATTCTATTGATCGAAAAAGTGTCAAATTCAATCTTGACTAAGATCTCATCATTATAAATGATCATACCAAATTTCATTTAAATTGGATGAAAATTGTGGTCTCTTATTTGTGTTCACAAACAAATTTTGATGCGCTTTTCCTAAGTCAAGGGCAACAACTCAAAAACTGTTCATCTAAGATAGCCAAATTCAAACTTGTCCAAAATCTCATCATTACAAATATTAAAACCAAATTTCATTTAAATTGGATAAAAACTGTAGTCTTTTTGACGTGTATTTCATAAGTCATTGGCAATAACTCAAAAACCGTTCATCGAAAGATAGCCAAATACAAACTTTTACAAGATCTCATCATTATAAATATTCACACTAAATTTCATTTAAATTGGATGAAAACTGTAGTCTCTATTGTGTTCACAACTAAATTTTGACGCATTTTTTACAAGTCGAGGGCAATAACTCAAAAATTATTCATCAAAAGATCGTCAAATTCGAATTTGTCCAAGATCTCATTAATATAAATGATCACACCAAATTTCATTCAAATCAGATAAAAACTGTTGTCTCTATTGCGTTCACAAGCCAATTGTGGACAGACAGACCGACGGACGAATGGACAGGGCGATGACAATATACAACCACATTATAATGTGGGCGTATTAAAAAGTGATTTAAATAATATATATATTCCACATGACAGTCCAGTACTTGTATTTGAAGCATATATGTATATAATACCTGTGAATTCTTTCTTAAAGACTTCTTCCATAGAAATATTACTTGCCTCCCCACGGTCTATTTTTCTACAGAATTTCTGCATTAAGACATGAAGCAATTTGATTATAGATGGTAGAAAACGCTGAACTTGTAAATGGTGCAGCTGAAAAACAATATATTACACAATCAATTTCAGCATATGTTTGCTTTATTCTCTTATTGAACATATACTTCAAGATGAAGATGTTTTACATGAAAACTTAGAAGCTTCAGTGCATACATTTGCCATGGAAATCTTATATCAACCAATGAAAATCCTTATTTCAGATAATCTCATATTATGAATGACAAATCTAATAACCAGCATGATTTAGCATGAAACGATACTTCTAAAAATACATTCTAAACAGACTGACATCTTTAAAAAATACTTTACCTCCTGTTTAAAGAGTCTAATTATCTTGAAAGATTGTCCCTCTTTCTCCTTATCAATAATCTGTAATTGGAAATTTCTCAAGAAGTGTTGAATGGTTATTCTCTCTCTATATTTCCATATAATACTATTATACTGTAGATTATTGATATCAGTTTCTTCATCAATGTCTTTTTCATAGACAATAGCCAATAATTCATCAGCACCTAATAATAAACAGCAGATAATTCATCAGCACCTAATAATATAACAGCTGATAATTCATCAGCACCTAATAATAAACAGCAGATAATTCATCAGCATCTAATAATATAACAGCTGATAATTCATCAACACCTAATTATAAACAGCAGATAATTCATCAACACCTAATTATAAACAGCAGATAATTCATCAGAACATTATAATATAAGAGCAGTTAATTCATCAGCATCTAATAATATAACAGCTGATAATTCATCAACATCTAATTATAAACAGCAGATAATTCATCAGCACATTATAATAAAACAGCTGATAATTCATCAGCACATTATATGTAACAGCACATAATTTTAACAGTACAGTTTGAGCTCTATGGCTTCAGAATCTAAAATAAAAGCCTCAATGTAACCTGAACTAAGACATTGTGTATAGGTGATAGATATGGATGTTTCACACTTATGCCAAGGAAAATAACATCTAAATGACAAAATGCACATGTCCATGCAAATAATCTAATTAGAGAAAATTCAACTTAAATGAAAAAGATTGCCTTGCAAAGCAAGGTGACATACGCTCACCAGCAGCTTTGATTGCAAGTACAAATCATTGTTTGTTGTCCATTCACATTTGGTTCATGTTTTGTCTATAGAGAATTTTAAGCAAACTCTATTGTATCGTATCATGGATAGTTTTTTACGCATGTCTTGATTCTTGCAAATAAGACAGTAGATTGTGTAAATAATGAATACATGTATCTGAAAGATAAAGAATTGTGAATATTGAACACACTGCAAAACATTAAATCAATTCTTTACCCAAATATTAATCTTTTGACGAAATTCAATATATTTACAAACAAACAAAAATCAGAAGAATACATCAAGAAATGTAGTCTGTAGTGTTCTCAGGCCAAATGTGAATGGACAGACTGACAGACAGGGTGAAGACAATTTAAGTCCATACTACATGTGAGCATATAAAAATCAAAAGAATCCATAAAGAACTGTTGCCTGTAGAGCACGAGCCAAATGTTAACAGACCGACAGACCGCCAGGGTGATTACAATATACGCCCAAAATATATTTGTTGGCGTATAAAAAGAAATACTACTTACCTGAATCATTACTGATTATATCCTCATTGCCTTTTCTTAACTGGGAGTCCAAGTCCTTCAACAGAATTCAATTTTTTTTTAAATTTGAAAAATTTTGTCATTTTAGAGGCCAAGTATATTTTTAACTTACCATTCTCATATCCAATTAACATTAAGAAATCTGATTGGAAACTAATATCACATCAACAACATCAACCAATCAGATTTCTTAGTATTGTACATATTTTACAAGTAGTATATACACCACAGTTCTTACAAGTCATGTTAATGAGTAAGACACATGGTATATATGACTTGTAACATGAATAAAATGATTGACAGTTTGAACTTATTACCGCATTGAACACATTACCTTCAGCCATGCAATAACATCATAATCAACATGTTGTAGCATACCTATGCTCCACCTACTTTCCTCTAAGATAGTATTTGGCTTTCATGTTAAGTTAGCCAAGTATATTACAACAAAAAATTGCTGATCATAAATTAAGGTTTTCCTCAAATCCATATTTAAAGCAATTTTGTTCTTAAAGAGATCAAAGGAAAAAATGCAATTCATGTTACACTATCTTATAGTTACTATGTTTCAGACAATGAGTATCTGAACAACAAACATACATTGTATATATTTTGGCATTATCCATAACTTGTCAACTAATCATATCTAACCTACTTTTATCAATTTATTTCATTCCCTATCAGGAGTGTATTGAAGCAGTGTTATCAAACTTTTTACATCCATCAAACACTGCTTTTAAATCTATTGTGAAAATTTTAGAAAAACAATAACTTTTGTTCAAATGTAACCAAAGGTCAAGGTCAGGAATGAAAAACTTAAACTGGAAATAGATAAAAAATCTAAATCGAATTTCAAATTTGGATTCCCATCTTTTGTTAGCAATAAATTGTTGATTTCATAGTTATAAAAATCAAGGCAGTTCATTAACAAGGACTGCAATCACTTACTTGTACAACTGGTTTTAAAGCCTTATTCATTCTGTTTTCCCATCGACCTCTAGCATCTTTTGTGTTCAAAATAACCTTATTTCTATCAATCTTATCTGAAATTCAAGATACTGAACTGTTGGTATAGAGTAAAAAAAACCTAAAATTTCACAATGACTAAAAACATAATAATACCTTTAAGGTTTTCAGGTTAACTGGCAAGATTGACAAGCAATATTCCAGAGAAAAGGGCAAAATTTTTATCCTTGCATGCTTAACCAAGAATTCACCTTTTCATTTTCTTTATGGTAATGGTTAAAACTTCGTTACATAAAAAAATTACCTGAGGGAAGATGCAATATGAGATGTTTACAGACTATATTCATTAAGAGAAATATATCATCACTACTCTTATTTAAGGTATGTTGTAATACACCAATATCTTTCTGTATGTGATGTAAGAAAAACTCCTCAATATTCCCACTTACATATCTTTCTTCTACCAGTTGCTTTACTTCCTGAAATATACACTTCATTAAACTTAAGTTTATGTCTTCGCATAAGCCATTCTTCTGTCTTGTAGGAGCTGTGGTGGCTCAGTGAGTTTGACACTTGCTTACTAACCTGAAGGTCCAGGGTTGAATCCTGGCATAGGTGGAGATGATACCTTTGATTTTCAACACACTGCACACCCAGACAGCCATTGATTTCTTAATATCTAATTTTCAACTTTTTCAACTTACCCGCTGATTTCGTTTGGATGATAAATACAGAGACATATGAGTCAACAATCTTACTATAGAACACATAACTGGTGATAATGATCTTTCTGGTGTTGAAATGTTAGATCTTTGATCAGCATAACCTAATATATGACCTTTCTTTGTACTATCTGCAGTTCTACAAAAAAAATGCTTCTGGTTTCATAACAGTAATGCCAGGCAAGGTAATATACGCCCATTGGCAGCTTTGATTTTAAATAAAAATATTTGGCAGTACAGTTACAATTACCAGTATGAAATATTCAACCTTAAGACATACACCTATTTTGAACTTTTTGAGGCGATACTGAATAATAATACCAAGTTTCATCAAAATCTGTCAAGAATTGAGCCTTCTAGAGTGTTTACAAACCTAAACTTGAATGCATTTTTAAGAACAAGGGCAATAAATCATACTAAATATTTTTACATTTTTCGATTTTCGATAGGGTTCATCCTTGGGTGATTACATACACTCACACCAAGTTTCTTCAAAATCTGTCAAGAATTGTGTCTTCTACAGTGTTTACGAGCTAAAAATTGAACGTGTTTCCAATAGCAAGGGCAATAACCATTACTAATTATTTTTTGATATTTCTGATTTTCAATAGGGTTTATCCTTGTGTGATAACAAACACTCATTTCAAGTTTTGTCATGAACAAGGGCAATAACTCATACTAAAAAATATTTTTCGATTTTTGTGATTTTCAATTGGATTTATGCTTTGGTGATAACAAACATTCATGCCAAGTTTTGTCAAAATTCGTCGAGAATTGTGCCTTCTAAAGTGTGTACGAGCTAAAAATTTATTGCGTTTTCAAGAACAAGGGCAATAGCTCATAGTAAATATTTTTCGATTTTTCTGATTTTCAATAGGGTTCATCTTTGGGTGATTACGAACACTCATGCCAAGTTTCGTTAATATCCATAAACAATTGTGCCTTCTAGAGTGTTTACGAGCTAAAAATTGAAAGCGTTTTCAAGAAAAAGGGCAATAACTTATACTAAATATTTTTCAATTCTTCTGATTCTGGTTCATCCTTGGGTGATTACGAACACTCATACCAAGTTTTGTCAAAATTCGTCAAGAATTGTGTCTTGTAGAGTGTTTACGAGCAATTGTGGATGGACCGACGTAATACAGTTCTTGAGACCTAACTCATAGCCTTGGTATATAATTTCATGACTTTGGTATATAATCAAAATTATTGGTACTTGATATGAATTTCTTGGTGTTGGGTGTTATTGAAGATACTCTTCTATAGAAGCACTGGCCAAGGTCACAAGAAGAGAACATTCTTCTTTTACATCAATTATCAATTTGAGTAATAAAGATTAAATTGAAATGGTACTATAAATGTTCTGAAGCAATGATTTTGAATACAAATATTTGGCAGTACAATTACAATCACCAGTATGAATTATTCAACCTTCAGACATTCACTTCTTTTGAACTCTTTAGGGCGATACTGAATAATAAAACAAAGTTTTGTCAAAATCCGCCAAGGATTGTGCCTTTAAGAGCTAAAATTTGAAAGCGTTTTCAGAGAGTTAATGAAATGGGGTCCAATTTTTGGCAATTGGTTTGCAATTGATTGATCCGGATACTCTCTCTCTGTAAGAGCTTAGTTTTGGGTTTAACAGTAGGTAATAGAGAACTTTTTCAATGGGTATGACAAGAATATCTTCAATGGAATAATTGTCTATCTTTCTTGTGAAATATATCGATATGATGACTGCTAAAACGAGTACACAACGCATTTTGGGTTTCGACATGTTTCTTTAGCAGGGGTACGATGATAATGATCATCTAGCCGTTGCTCTCACAATCCCATATTCATTAATTTTGATTGGCAGAGATTTATAATGGAAGGAAGCGTTAGAATTTTCTGAAATGATACCTAAAACCTCCACACCGTATAGATTGACCCATTGGGTATTAAATTTCAACTTCTTGGTATATAATTAACTTAGTTATTGTTAGTTAGTGTATAATATGAATTTCTAGGTATAAAATTTCAACTTCTTGATTTTTTCCATTTTGGCATTCCATAAATATGGGATTCCACTCATTAGAATGATGTTGAAAGATAGCTTGCAATGCAAGGTAACATACGCCCATTGGCAGGTGTCAGAAATGATAAAACAGTCTTTATTGACTAAAGTACTAATTTTCTCATATTGAAGAAATTATTTATGCTGAATAATTCCACAAAATTTTTTAAAATCAATATCAATAACCCAAATACAACAAACAATTAAATCACACAGCTCTAATCAAGGGCAAAAAACAACTTTTGACGCATGTTTACAAAGTCAAGGGCAATAACTCAAAAAATTTTCATAAATAATATCTTTTGTTAGAACTTGTCCGAGATCTTATCAATTCCAATGATCACACCAAGTTTCATCAGAATCGGTTGAAAACTGTAGCTTCAATCCTGCTCATGAACTATTTTTAACAAATTTTGACGCGTTTTAACAAAGTCAAGGGCAATAACTCAAAAACCGTTCATCGAAAATGCGTAAAGTTAGAACTTGTCTGAGATCTTATCAATTTCAATGATCACACCAAGTTTCATCATAATCGGTTGAAAACTGTAGCTTCAAACCTGCTCACAAACTATTTTTTGTAAATTTCGACGCGTTTTAACAAAGTCAAGGGCAATA